TTTCAGAACTCTTGGGTGAAGAGTTCTGGTCCCGGTGACTTGTTACTGTTAAGTTTATCAATTAATTCCAAAACCTCCTCTAGTGACATTTCAATCTGTGACAATTCCTCAGAGTTGTCACCTACAAAGGACGGCTCAGGTTTGGGAATCTCCCTAACATCCTCAGCCATGAAGAATTCATTTAGTTTCTCCGCAATGACATTATCGTCTTTAAGTGCTCCTTCTGTGTCTCGATCGTCCAGGGGCCCCACTGGTTGTTTAGCAGGCTTCCTGCTTCTGATGTAATTAAAAGGTAATAACAAAATGTTTTTTGAGTTTTTGGCTAGCTGTTCTTCAAACTCCTTTTTGGCGTTTCTTATTACATTTTTACACTTAATTTGGCAGTGTTATGCTCCTTTCTATTTACCTCACTAGCATTTGACTTCTGCTTTTTAAAAGATGCCTTTTTATCTCTCACTGCTTCTTTTACATGGTTGTTAAGCCACGGTGGCTCTTTTTTAGTTCTTTTACTATGTTTTTTAATTTGGGGTATACATTTAAGTTGGGCCTCTATTATGGTGTCTTTGAAAAGTGTCCATGCAGCTTGCAGGGATTTCACTCTAGTCACTGTACCTTTTAATTTCTATTTAACTAACCCCCTCATTTTTGCATAGTTCCCCTTTCTGAAATTAAATGCCACAGTGTTGGGCTGTTGAGGTGTTCTTTCCACCACAGGAATGTTAAATGTTATTATATTATGGTCACTATTTCCAAGTGGTCATGTTATAGTTACCTCTTGGACCAGATCCTGCGCTCCACTCAAGCCTAAATCGAGAATTGCCTCTCCCCTTGTGGGTTCCTGTACCAGCTGCTCCAAGAAGCAGTCATTTAAAGTATCGAGAAATTTTGTCTCTGCATTTCGTCCTGAGGTGACATGTACCAAGTCAATATGGGGATAATTGAAATCCCCCACTATTATCAAGTTCTTTATTTTGATAGCCTCTCTAATCTCCCTTAGCATTTCATCGTCACTATCACTATCCTGGTCAGGTGGTTGATAATAGATCCCTACTGTTATATTCTTATTAGAGCATGGAATTACTATCCATAGAGATTCTATGGAACATGTGGATTCATTTCAGATTTTTACTTCATTTGATTCTACATTTTCTTTCACATATAGTGCCACCCTCCCACCCCAACCCCACATGACCTGTTCTGTCCTTCCGATATATTTTGTACCCCGGAATGATTGTGTCCCATTGATTGTACCCACTCCACCAGGTTTCTGTGATGCCTATTATATCAATATCCTCCTTTAAACACGAGGTACTCTAGTTTACCCATCTTATTATTTAGACTTCTAGCATTTGTGTACAAGCACTTTAAAAACTTGTCACTATTTATTTGTCTGCCCTTTTCTGATGTGTCAGATTCTTTTTTATGTGAATGTTTCTCATCTGATCTGGCCCATACTTTATCCTGTTCCATCCTCTCCTTCTGACTAGAACCTAGAGAATCTCTATCAATAGACTCTCCTCTAAAAGAAGTCTCTGTCCGATCCATGTGCTCCTCTGCAGCAATTGGCTTTCCCCCATCTCTTAGTTTAAAAACTGCTCTGCAACCTTTTTAATGTTAAGTGCCAGCAGTCCAGATCCACTTTGGTTTAGGTGGAGCCCATCCTTCCTGTATAGGCTCCCCCTATCCCAAAAGTTTCCCCAGTTCCTAATAAATCTAAATCCCTCCTCTCTACACCATCATCTCATCCACGCATTGAGACTCTGAAGCTCTGCCTGCCTACCTGGCCCTGCGCGTAGAACTGGAAGCATTTCTGAGAATGCTACCATAGAGGTCCTGGATTTCAGTCTCTTTCCTAGCAGCCTAAATTTGGCCTCCAGGATGTCTCTCCTACCCTTCCCTATGTCATTGGTACCTACATGTACCACGACCACCGGCTCCACCCCAGCACTACACGTAAGTCTATCTAGATGCCTCGAGAGATCCACAACCTTCGCACCAGGCAGGCAAGTCATAGGGTTCTCCCAGTCATCACAAACCCAGCTATCTATGTTTCTAATGATCGAATCTCCCATTACTAACACCTGCCTTTTCCTAATGACTGGAGTTCCCTCCTCCGGGAAAGGGTTAAAGTTTTGCTGGGCTTTTTCAAGATGTAATTTGAATTTCTAGTTGGTAAAATATAAATTATCTTGCTATTTTGATCCATTTGTTAATCTACCTTCTTGCACCCATATTTCTAGAAGGCATAATTTCTGGAAATGGTATTACATACAAGAGAATGTAATAGTTGTCATTGCCTTGCAAAAAATATTCCAAAAGCCTCACATACACAATGCATATCCAAGGGGCCTTCATTCTCCAGCACTTACTAAGACAGAGCAAGGTATTCTTTAGTCTTATTTATGCCTCTTGAAAATAATGCATTGTTCTATTAATCTGAAACTGTCACTAAAAGTAAGGTTTTTAAAAATGAATCTTTATTCATATTTTTCTCTTTTTAAAAAAATCTATTTTTCCTGAATGAAATTAAGTTAACTAGCTTCCCCAGAGGAAAAAAATGAACAATTTCCATGTGTATGATTAAAAGTAGGGCTGTCGATTAATTGCAGTTAACTCACGTGATTAACTCAAAAAATTAATTGTTATTTTAAAAATTAATCGTGATTAATCGCAGTTTCAATTCCACTGTTAAACGATAGAATACCAATTGAAATTTATTAAATATTTTGGATGTGTTTCTACATTTTCAAATATATTGATTTCAATTACAATACAGAATACGAAGTGTATACTGCTCACTTTATATTATTTTTATTACAAATATTTGCACTGTAAAAATGATAAAAGAAACAGTATATTTCAATTCACCTCATAAAAGTACCATAGTGTAATCTGTTTATTGTGAAATGCAACTTACAAATGTAGATTTTTTTTGTTACATACCTGCACTCAAAAACAAAACAATGTTTTTAGAGCCTACAAGTCCACTCACTCCTACTTCTTGTTCAGCCAATCACTAAAACAAACAAGTTTGTTTACATTTACAGGAAATAATGCTGCCAGTTTCTTATTTACAATGTCTCCTGAAAGTGAGAACAGCCATTCGCATGGCCAGCATTGCAAGGTATTTACATGCCAGATATGCTAAACATTCATATGCCCCTTCATGCTTCGGCCACCATTCCAGAGGACAGGCTTCCATGCTGACGACGCTCGTTAAAGAAATAATATGTTAATTAAATTTGTGACTGAACTCCTTGGGGGAGAATTGTATGTCTCCTGCTCTGTGATTTACCCTCATTCTGCCATATATTTCCATGTTATGGCAGTCTCGGATGATGACCCAGCACGTTGTTCGTTTTAAGAACACTGTCACTGCAGATTTCACAAGACACGAAGAAGGTACCAATGTGAGATTTCTAAAGATAGCTACAGCACGCAACCCAAGATTTAAGAATCTGAAGTGCCTTCCAAAATCTCAGAGCGATGGGGTGTGAAGCATTCTTTCAGAAGTCTTAAAAGAGCAACACTCCGATGCGGAAACTATAGAACCCGAATCACCAAAAAAGAAAATCAACCTTCTGCTGGTGACATCTGACTCAGATGATGAAAATGAACATGCATTGGTCTGCACTGCTTTGGACTGTTATCGAGCAGAACCCATCATCAACATGGACGCATGTCCTCTGGAATGGTGGTTGAAGCATGAAGGGACATACGAATCTTTAGCGCATCTGACACGTTAATATCTTGCAACGCTGGCTACAACAGTACCATGCGAACGCCTGTTCTCACTGTCTGGTGACATTGTGAACAAGAAGCGGGCAGCATTATCTCCTGCAAATGTAAATAAATCTGTTTGAGCAATTGGCTGAACAAGAAATAGGAATGAGTGGACCTGTAGGCTTTAAAGTTTTACATTGTTTTATTTTGGAATCCAGTTTTTTTTATACATAACTCTACATTTGTAAGTTCAGCTTTCATGATAGAGTTGCACTACAGTACTTGTATTAAGTAAATTGAAAAATACTATTTCTTGTATTTTTACAGTGCAAATATTTATAATAAAAAATAAATATAAAGCAAACACGGTATACTTTGTATTCTGTGTTGTAATTTAAATCAATATATTTGAAAATGTGGAAAACATCCAAAATATTAATATTATTAACAGCACAATTAATCGGTCTTAATTTTTTTAATCGCATGATTAATCGCAAATAATTTTTTTAATTGCTTGACAGCCCTAAATAGAAGCTTAGTTGCTTTTTTTTTTTTTTTTTTTTTTTTTTTTTTTTTTTTTTTTTTTTTTTCAGTGGGCATTTATTTAATGTATCACCACCACAGAGAAGGAATATAACCCAAGGCACTATGGTGTCACTGTTGATATTTTTCTATGAATACAAACTCAGAATATTGAAACTCAACAGACTTCTGGACTCCAAGGGAGATTGACCACAGCACCTTCTAACTACACTCACACTATCTCTTGGCATGAAGATGCTATAAGCTTAAGACTCCTGGGTTCTAGTCCCAGCTCTGCCACTGACCAGCTCAGTGATGCTGGTCTGTTTTTGATTCCCATCCCATCTTTGTCTGTCTTGTCTCTTTAAATTGTATGATATTCATGGGCAGGAACCATTTTTTATTATGGGTTTACAGAGTGCTTAGAACAATGGGGCCCTGGTCTCAGTTAGGGGCTCTAGGCACTACTGTAGTACAAGTATTGAAGAAGCTACCGCCATCAAGATGAAATTGCCCATTAGAAAAAGCATTTAAGGTCAAATTCTTCTCTCATTAAAAGGCCCAGTCCATCTCCCACTGAAGACAATGGGAGTTGCACTGGGACTGGGCCCTTACACTGGTGTAAATTAGGAGTATTTTCCCTGAAGTCAATGAAGTTATACAAGTATAAGATCAGCGTGAGAGAAGAATCAGGCTCCTCCAGTAGAAGAGCTGTACCCAAAAAATACTATTTTGATAATGCAGAATATATTTACTTGAGTTTTTATCCGGAAGTCTGTCTATCTTCCACACTACAGCCCTATAGGCACTTTCATATTTTGCTGTTCCAATTGAGACCTGAATTACAGGATCAGATTCAACTTCATGTAAAGAGCCAAGGCATGTTTTTCTGTTCATTTTTGCTTTTAGGGACTTCTGTCTTTGGAGATTCATTGTCCAAAGTGCTTTGATCCACTGTGCAGGAACTGGAAAGCGTATCATGACATTTTCACAGTATTTCATGGAATGCAAACGTGCTGGAATCAGAGAAGTAGAAGACATGTTTATAAAAGCCTGAAGTTCAATGTATGCTCCTTGAACAACTACTGCAGCCTTTAAAGAAAATGGAAGGTCTTGCCCATTATACAATGTCTTGAAACGCATCAGTTCTAATCTACAGGCATCCAGGGGTATAAACTTAATAATTCTAGATTGCTCAAACTCATGTGTTTTGACACACTTATGGAAATGGTAGTCAAGAATATCAATCCATTTCTTCTCCAGGTCCTTGTCAAAATAACGTTCATCTCTTTTCTGAAGCTCTAGATCATTTAAAGTAAAAAAGCATTCAGTATTGCCATTCACAAAACACATACAATAAATGTGTGTGATGACAGCACTTTCTACGAGTTTTCCTTCTGTTTTAGTGATTTTCCCCCAAAACTTATCCACTATTTCTAGTATAATTTCTTGTTCCTCATAATTTCTCTTTTGCTTACAGATGACTGGAAGCTTCATTAACTCTTCCTCAACTGTTGCAAGGAAGTCAGTGAAGTCATTGTAATCCGTGGTTCCTAATTTTAGCATCTGCTCCACCTCTGGTTCATGGACCACTTCTGCTTTGGGGTGGAATTTTCTTTTCTCTGTATAAGACACATATTCAATCTTCACGGTATGGATTTTTCCTGAAACACTACAGTTCTCTAGCTTGGGTTCTGACAGTTTACAGTATGGTTGAAGCTGGAATTCTTTGAAAGGTTTTTCAAGGCCCTTCTCATAGTACATTTGTAAAATGCCCCCAGGTAGGACTTTAAGATAAATAGGACCCCACTGCCGAGATGACATCATATTCTTCTTCTCAGGAATTCTTAGCATGATAGGCCAACCATCTTTTTTCTGGCTCCTGAAGAGACTGTGTGGAATAAAAGAAGAGAGATTATGCCATGCATGTATGCTGGAGGCAGACAGGCTTCCCAAAGTATCAGTTTGCAAATGTTCAAGCCTTTCACAGATATAACTGAAGGAATTCTGATTGAGACTTTTCTGATCATGGCAAGTGTCTTTTTCTTTAGGATGGCAAATACCTCTGCAAAGCTTTTTATCCTTTCTTTGTGTGTCAACATTACAGGGAGACATGCTAGTTGAACACCCCTCTTTCCAAAATAGAGTTGAAAAAGCACAGTCATTCTGAAAATATTGGAAGCGTTCCAATTCCAACTGATCTTCTACTTTATTGCAGCTTTCTTGGTAAGTAGGATTTATTTCACCTGGGGTTGCTTGTTTAGAGAATAAAATCTTAGGTGGATTATCATTAGCTGCAGTGCTCAGTTTCTGAAAAGCTAAGGAAGAACAAGTCCCAGGTGGTGGGTGAAGGTTAATGTTTGATGACAATTCAGGAATAGGATAAAAAATGTGAATTCCTGATTTGGGGATACAGGGACTTCCTGGATACTCTTTGGTAGGTGTAGAAAGTGGAGAGTTACTAGGAGGTCCAGGATTTAAGTAAAAGTCAGCTATAGGAGAAGAAAGTGGAGTGCTGCTTGTAGAAGATGACCTACTGGAAGATTCATGCATATTAACAAGATTGAGATTAAGACCATTTGCTTTACAGGTATTACGATTTTCCACTGATTTTTGAGGAGATTGAAAGAGGGGTTCATCATCAAAAGTGACCCAGTTTGCTGGATATGTGGAACACATCTTGTAGGAAAAAACTTGAAACACTTATACAGGTATCACCTCTGAGTCATCTGTTAAGAAATAACACAAAACAAGAACAGACGTGATAAGAAATAAATGCAATTACTTTTGAAAAAAACTTATAACATTCAAATTTCATAATGCCTACATTTTCATGAGCATCCAGTTTTGGGCGCCTCAATTTCTGGATGCACAACTTGAGTCACCTAAGGCTTGATTTTTAAAGTACTGAGCACCCATAGACCTCCAATTGATGCCACAAATTGGGCACCCAAACTTAGCGGACAGCTTTGAACATTTGATATACACACCCACACACACTGTAAGTGGAGCTGACAGAAATACCTATAGGTAAGATTGCCTAACATTTTCCATTATAAGGCTCTGTTATCTTTGGCAAAATAACTGTTTGAGCTGAAATTTTCATGCTGGGTATCTGCCTCATGATGAATTTTTTGGGAAAGTTCAGCAAAAATGGCTCATCTGTTTCCAAGATGGAGGCTAGGGGGAAAATGCATTGTTTTGCCCATGTTAAAAAATTCTTACAACTGTTTTGCTGAGAAGCTATAGCACCTCCATGCTTTGGGGCAGAAACTTACCATTTGGAAGAGGGGCATGTGTGCGCGTGGAGGAAGCTGGGTTCTCTCACCCTATGCCCTTTTTCTGTCTCTGAAATTTCACCCAAATTTGGCTGAGTTATAAGCCTCTGAAATTATAAATTTACATATCTCCGAAGTTTGTTGTGGCTGGCAGAAAAATTCCCTGAACATTCCATCTGTACTGAGCCTGATCTACCCACACAGAGTTCTGTGCCAGCCACAATTCACATGCTCCAACAAGAGGCTGAGCAGAACTCAGGCCAGGGAGACTGATGCCTAGGCAGCATGGAGGAAAAGGAAACAGTCAAACTCAAATGCATACGACTAGGTGCAGAGGGACAGGATGGAAGGGTCCTATGGAGGAAAAAAGTAATTAATGTAATTAAAGACTGTCATATTACATAATCATAAAGGGGCATATTAAGGTTGCACAAGCAACTTGAATTCTGGCATTTCTTAACTTTTGAGTGCTACACTTTACAACCTTAAAACATTCTTAACATAGGAATGTGTGCATGGAGGGTGTGTGTGCTATATATAATTTTATTTACAAACACTTAACTAAAAGTTCTACTCACTCCACTAGACTTTTGTGCTGGCTCTTTTCCTGATTATGGTTGTTGGTAATAGCAGTAGGGAGAAACACATCCAAAGTGTGGGGGGAAACATATTATTCTTGCCCTTTGTACCTGTGATGTCAAAAGCCAGCTTTGAAGGAAATACTAGGCTTTGTCCCCACATAAGTTTAGTATCCATGCCTTTTTGTTCTTCAAGACAGCTAAGAATAAATAACTTAAGCAAAACTACACGAAAGTAACACTGAAGCATTCAGAATAAATTGTGGTGTTACAAAGTATCTTCATTGTCTATGCTATGGTGAGCCAATTTTTCCCAAACCACATAAAGTTTTCTATTCTGTAAGTACTGTAAATAGATATGGTCACCTTAGGGCTTCTTACCATCAGGATGTACACATTGTTAGCAAGATATGACTGAAAATTCCACATATAATTTGTTTTGTGGTTGTCTGAAATGGTTCACATTAGATTTGCTTTTGTAGTAGAGGCATGGAATGGACATTTCAGAAGCATAAATACATTTTGAATATTAAAAGTATAAAATGACATTCTGTATACCACATTTTAGTGGATACTAAAATTTATTATAGATAGAGCTAATAACAACATCCTTTATGGGGAGAGCTGGCAGAAAGACCTCTAAGAAAGGCCATCTAAGGGTATGTCTACACTACGAGAGTAGTTCGATTTTACTTAAATCGAATATGTGGAATCGATATTGCAAAGTCGAACGTGTGTGTCCACACTAAGGACAGTAATTCGACTTTGTGAGTCCACACTAACGGGGAAAGCGTCGACATTGGAAGCGGTGCACTGTGGGCAGCTATCCCACAGTTCCCGCAGTCCCCGCTGCCCATTGGAATTCTGGGTCGAGCCCCCAATGCCTTCTGGGTAAAAAAATGTGTCGAGGGTGCTTTTGGGTAACTGTCGTCATCCGTCCGTCACTACCGCCCTCCCTCCCTGAAAGCGCCGGCGGGAAATCAGTTCGTGCACTTTTCTGGTCAGTGACAGCGCGGACGCCACAGCACTGCGAGCATGGAGCCCACTGCGACCATCGCTGCAGTTGTGGCCGTTGTCAACGCCTCGCAGCTTATCATCCACCTTTCCCAGAGGCAGATGCAGATAAATCAGGCGAGGAGGCTACGGCACCGCGGTGAGGGCCTGAAGTCTGAGAGTAGCACAGACCTGTCAGAAAGCACGGGACCCAGCGCCGAGGACATCACGGTGGCAATGGGTCATGTGGATGTTGTGGAACGGCGATTCTGGGCCCGGGAAACAAGCACGGACTGGTGGGACCGCATAGTGCTGCAGGTCTGGGATGAATCACAGTGGCTGCGAAACTTTTGCATGCGGAAGGGGACTTTCATGGAACTTTGTGAGTTGCTGTCCCCTGCCCTGAAGCGCAATGACACACGGATGCGAGCAGCCCTGACTGTCCAGAAGCGAGTGGCCATAGCCCTCTGGAAGCTTGCAACGCCGGACAGCTACCGGTCAGTCGCGAACCACTTTGGCGTGGGCAAATCTACCGTGGGGGTTGTTGTGATGCAAGTAGCCAACGCAATCGTAGAGGTACTGCTCTCAAAGGTAGTGACCCTGGGAAACGCGCAGGCGATCATAGATGGCTTCGCCGCGATGGGATTCCCAAACTGCGGTGGGGCTATAGATGGAACTCACATCCCTATCCTGGGACCGGACCACCAGGCCAGCCAGTACATCAACCAAAAGGGTTACTTTTCAATGGTACTGTAAGCACTGGTGGACCGTAGGGGACGTTTTACAAACATCAATGTCGGATGGCCGGGCAAGGTTCATGACGCTCGTGTTTTCAGGAACTCAGTTCTGTTTAGACGGCTGCAGGAAGGTATTTACTTCCCGGACCACAAAATAACTCTTGGGGATGTGGAGATGCCTATAGTCATCCTCGGGGACCCAGCCTACCCGCTAATGCCCTGGCTCATGAAGCCCTATACTGGCGCCCTGGACACTGAAAAAGAACTCTTCAACTACCGGTTGAGCAAGTGCAGAATGGTGGTGGAGTGTGCTTTTGGACGTCTCAAGGGGAGATGGCGACACTTACTGACTCGCTGTGATCTCAGCGAAACCAATATCCCCATTGTTATTGCAGCTTGCTGTGTGCTCCACAATCTCTGTGAGAGCAAGGGGGAGACCTTTATGGCGGGGTGGGAGGTTGAGGCAAATAGCCTGGCTTCTGATTACGCCCAGCCAGACAGCCGGGCGATTAGAAGAGCCCAGCGGGACGCGCTGTGCATCTGGGAGGCTTTGAAAGCTAGGTTCCTGAGTGAGCAGGGTAACCAGTGACTTTTCAGTTTGTGTACAGAGAAGCTGAACCTGCCCCCGTTTCTTTACCCACTAAATATTCAGTATCCTCTCCAGTTACATACCCCGTTCCCCCCCTTCCAACACACGTTTAAAAATAAAATCACTTGAATTTTGTTAATGAACACCGTTTTCTTTATTACTGTTTTTGTGGGAAAGTGTTGAACCTGGGACGCAGACTGTGGTGGGGAGCGGGTGTTGTCTAGTGATGCAATTGACGCTTCCAAACTCCAGGAATGACAGGCTCCGCACTGGTGGACTGGTGGTTTCAACGGACCCTGCCACCTCTCCTGTTCGGGACTCTCTGTGTGGGGGGGGCTATGTGACTTTGTGGCAGGGGGAGGACGGTTACAGATCCCCTGCTGCGTGGTTCTGTGATCCAGGATAAGAACCGCTGCATAAGATCTGTAACTGCCCTCACCCGCCACAAAGTCACAGAGCACCCCCCACCCCCCACAGAACACTAAAACCACCTCCCAGACTGACCAGGGTAACTAGTGACTGCAATGTGTGTGTGCCCTGCTGCTGAACCTGCCCCCGCCTCTGTACCCTGGTAAAGGTGACTGTCCTGTCCAATTACCAACCCCCTTCCCCCCCTTCAGACAGACTCTCCTCTAAGAGAACATGATGGAAACAGTAATTAACAGAAACGTATTTTTTATTAGCAACTACACATGAAACTGGGGGGTGAAACTTGGACGGGGGCTTGTGTGAGGCGGGAAGGAAAGGACTTGTCAAATTTTGGGGAATGAGAGCCTTCTAGTACTAGAGCACTCTGCAGGGGTGGAGTGAGAGTTTTCACGGACTCTGCCGCCCCTCCTTCTTGGGACTTTGGGTGAGGGGGGTATGGGACTTGGTGGCGGGGGAGGGCGGTTACAGATAGACTGCAGCGGGGCTCTGTCCTCCTGCCTCCGGTCCTGCAGAACATCCACAAGGTGCCGGAGCATGTCCGTTTGCTCCCTCATTAGTCCAAGCAGCGTTTGAGTCGCCTGCTGGTCTTCCTGCCGCCACCTCTCCTCCTGTTCCATGTGTGAACGGTGCATTTGGGACAAGTTCTCCCTCCACTGGGTCTGCTGTGCTGCCTGGGCTCGGGAGCAGCCCATAAGTTCCGAGAACATGTCCTCCCGTGTCCTCTTCTTCCGACGCCTAATCTGCGCTAGCCTCTGGGAGTGTGATGCCAGGCTAGGTTGTGAGACAGTCGCAGCTGTGGCTGTGGGAATGGGAAAAAGGGAGTGAATTCCTCAGAAAGATAAATTTAGTTGTGAACAAAGAACATAGTCTTTCTCTGTGAACAAGACCATGCACAGCACCTATCACATGCGCACTCAGGACAAGGTCGAATTTTCGGCCTTCGCATTCAGTGCCTGGGGTCTTGCACTGCAGATCTGAGAAGTGGGGCAGGACACCGGAATTTGTGTAGCAGGCAGACATGGTAAGCCGTAGACTTGTGGCTGCTTAAAACTTTAATAGTAGCATTGACCTCCTTTCACATTGAAAGCAATGCCAGTCCCTGCTGCCAGCAATCTGGCAAGCATGAACTCTGCCCCTGTCCCACCCCCTCGCGGCTGTCCCAGGGAAAGATCCCTGTATACTGCCCCTCTCCCGCCTCCACCGCGTGGCTGTAAACCGGCGGTTACAGTTCTGTAAAGGAACGGGCAAGCAGTCCCAATACTAACATTCCCCTACCTAATTCAAAGCAGGTCACCATGAGCGACATCACCCTGATGAGGATCTCAGACACTGATAAAGAAAGAATGCTTCGGGAAAGCCTGCAAAGACCAGGGCCGTATGCTGCCATGCTCTGCAGGGCAATGATCCCGGAGTACCTGATGGTCTCCTGGCGCGGAAATGTCTGCTACTACGGAGGACCCAATAAGGCCGCTCTCCCCAGGAACCTGATGCAAAGGCTTTCCAATTACCTCCAGGAGAGCTTCGTGGAGATGTCCATTGAGGATTTCAGCTCTATCCCCGGACATATAGACCGCATTTTACTGTAGCTGCACTGGCAGGGACTAAACAGTAGAGCAGCTTGGGCAGAACAATCATGCTAAACTGGACATTGTTAGATTTTTTTTGAATAGTTGCACTGCCCAGGACTGAAACTTTAAGCACCTAGGGCAAACT